GACTCCAAGTTTCCAGCAAGCCATAGGCCCATCCTTGTGGGCCAAGCACCTTTGGGGTCATCTCACTGAAACCTCCAAATTACCACGGAGGATGAGTAGCTGTTCCAACACTTTCTGGTTGAGGAGATAGAGGTTCACAGAGGGCGAGGGCCTTTCTGGAAGTCACAAAGCAAGGCAGGGATGTCTGTGTGACCCCTGCCCTGGATCTCAGCACAGCTGCCATTTATAGCGTCCTTATTTTAAAAGCTATCCAGCCACTCATTCTTGTAAAAGGCAAGAATCAGGGCCACCCCAGGCCCCAGGTGCCCTCTTTATTCCACCCAGCTCTGCTCACTTTGTCCAAGGAGACTGAAGCCTAGAAGGGGACAGTGGCCTGGACAGTTTCACGCTCCTGACACTGAAACCAACTCAAGGACTTCAAGCCCCCGCTCAGAGCCCGATGCTCCCTGGGAGCCCAGAGCTCCAGTGCAGCTGCTGCAGAGCATAGGCCCGCCGGGCCACCTCCCTCCCTTCCCTGCCATCACGAAGGCTAATAACAACATCAATCAGGTTGACCATGTCTCACACCATTACTCGAAGCTCAGCTGGAAGCTTTGCTTCCCCCTCACCCACCCACCACCTTCCAGAAAGCAAAGCAAGGTGCAGGAGAGAAAGCATGACAATGCCATCCATATTTTCCCTACTAAGCTCTCGGCACCTGAGTAAGAAAGCTCTTTCTACACCTCTGTAAGACGGGGAAGATGCCAGAGACAGAGGAAGCAGCCGGGCCCAGGACTGAATGCATGTGTCCAAGGTCACACGGCACGAGGACAAGAACCACCACGACGGTGACAGGCTGCTGAGTGCTGGCTGGCTCACAGTGCCGGGCGCTACGCATGATCCTACTGAACCATTACCATCCTTATTTTCAGATGAGGAAACTGAGGCTTGGTCACATACTGGTCACATGAGAGCAGCAATGGGCCACCGGGCTGCCAAGGGGTTCTCTGATCAGGAGGAAAAACACTGTATGCTGGTCCTGTTCCTGCCCAGCTCAGTGATCGTAGGTAAACCTCATGACCCTCAGAGCCTCAATTTCCTCATCTGAAAAAGGCAGCCATAAACAGCAATCCCATTGTGTGAAATTACAACAAAAAAGATGAAACCAGTAAAATCGCAAAGGTTATAAGTGGAACACGCACCAGGCACTTTGCCAAGTACTTTACATATGTAAGCTCGTTTGGTTAAATGAGGTAATGCACGTTAAGTGCTTAGCACAGGACTCCTGGAACGGGAAGATAATGACGACCATGAAGAAACTGATGACCATTCCCTAGGGCAAGTGTCCCCTGGTTCATCCCCTTACCAAAGAGGGATCTACCAAATGCTTCTAGGAGATGGGCTAGGAAGAGCAGGTTTGGATGAAGAAAATGCAAACAAAAATTAAAGAGAGGGCAGAGTGTTTAATTTGCGTATCTGAGGCCCTGCATTCAATCCCCAGCACAGTAAAAAAAAAACCAAAATTAGGAAGTCAATACATAGAATTGTAATGTCAAAGTGGTACACCAAATAGGACCAGACACAGGGATATGCTGAGAGGTCTTCAGAGCAATCCAGATGAATATGCAACAAAACCTCCCTGCTCCTCTCCTCTCGGAAATCACCTCAGTCTCCGGCAGGCAGAGCTGATGAGACTGCAGGGAGATGGGCTAAGGGTTCTTCCCATTTCACAAGTGGAAAAACAAGGCTTACAGTGAAGTAGAGATTTACCCAAATCTGCAGGATGTGAGTAGCAAAGTAGGGCTTAAACCCAGTCTCCTACTTCCCAGCTCAGTTCAGCACCCAATTACTTTGGTTGTTTCCCACCAAAGACAGTGCAGGGTGCACTTAGATATGTTTAGGTTACAATTCCAGGCAAGCAACTCCCATATGAACCATTAAAAAATAATAGTAAATAGCTACAGCGTACACAGTACCATGTATAGCACTAAGTTCCTTCTCTCTGTCTTTTTCTCTCTCTCTCTCTTTTAGTTCTTTGAGACAGGGTCTTGCTACGTTGTTCAGGCTGGCCTCAAACTTAAAGTGATCCTCTTGCCTCTACGCCCAGTTAAATCAATTACATGGATTTAATCTTTATAACAACCCTACGAATTAGGAGCTGGATATTATTTAACAGACAACAAAACTATAACTCAGAAAAGCAACTTGGCTAAGACCACGTAACCAGAAAGAGAGAGCCAGGGCGGAACCCAAGCCCCAAGCCTGTCCTGTCAAACTCCAGAGCCTTAATTACTATCCCACAGTTCCCTGGGGACACAATGGCATAGTCCCTTCCTACCTCTCCTGATCCTCAGCCCCCTGGCCCTCCTTCCTCACCCCAAGCAAGCCTAGCCCAATACAAAAGAGTGCTCAGACGTGGCCTGCTTTGTTGTCATGCTTAAACATCACTTGAAAAAGAACAGTGACACAGTTTTTCCTCCGAAATTTTCAGCTAAAAAAGCATTTAATGGCTTCTTTTATCCTTTAGTCGGTTGAATGAGCAAACTGAGCTTCCCTTCTGCCCTCAGGCTGGTGAAGTCAGCATCTCAGGAGCATTTCAGGGAAGCTGCCAGGGAGTTGGGACTCCAGGGGTTAGTGACAGCTGGTGGGACCCTCTGTGTAATCAGCTCAGACAGCAACAGAGCTGAAACCAGTTTTCAAATTCCCAATCGAAAAAAAAAATTCCCAATCGGAACACCGGTAGATTATCTCACAGAACCCTCTCAAGCTGCCTAAGCCACTTGGATAGGATGTGGAGAGGGGAGTCCCACTCAGGTCCTGTACAACCCTAGAGCCTGGAGCTGGTGCAGGACGGGAAATAGACACAAGAGACCTGTTTGACCTACTATCAAGCAGTAGGCATCTCCCAAGGGGCTTGGCAAGTCAGAACTCTTTTAGATTCCTGGACCCCAGTTCCTCTAGAACTCGTGGCAAGTTTCAGCATAGCACCACCCTGGAGGGTTAGTGAGTTAATTCATGGAAAAGGGCTTCAGGAGTAGCTGGAACCTAGCAAGTACTCCACAGAACTATTTATTCTTAGCAATAGCAAGGAGTAAGTATGGGACACATTGTCAACGCGTTTACCTGTGGGGAGAGGACTAGGCACAAGGAAACAAAAACTTGTCTTCTCTCCTGTGTGATTATTTGTTTATTTAATACTTTTTTCTTTTTTGGTCAGGTGTGGTGGTGTACGCCTGTAATTCCACCACTGAGGAGGCTGAGGCAGGAGGATCGCTGAGAGTTTGAGGCCAGCTTGAGCAACATAGTGACTTTAAAGGCAGTCTGAACTACATAGCAAGATCCTGTCTCAAAAAACAAACAAAAAATGCAGAAAAGATCCTCTGAAAGGTTTCAACATGTCTTAGTATTTTATGTTCCTCGAAGTAAAGAAGAGCAGTTCTATTATGAGCTAGGAATTGCCAAATAACAGATTCATTCATTTATTTTACAAATATTAATGGAGTACCAGGCACTGTTCCAGCTGCTGGAACAAAACACAGGGAACAAAACAGGCAATTTCTGCCCTTCTGGAGTTCCCATTTTACTTGATTGTAAGTGATCCCCTTTGCAGTCTTCAAGAATAAATATTCATCAGACAGACCGAGGCAACCCTGAGAGGGGAAGCCACTGGCCCACCACCCCACACCAGGAAGCAGAGCCCTGGGTGTTTCTTACAGCGCCCAAGAGGACAGGTCTGTGGGTGGTGTGTTCGGGGCTACTGTTCCTAAGAGGAGAGACAAGTCGAAAGAGGAGGTCTGCACACACTCCCTCAAAGCTTCGTTCTTCATTGTGCTCTGCACTGAGGGCTGAGGAAACAGGGGACAGTGGAAGAACCATGAGTGAGGCTCAGGGTCCCCCAGTTCACACTCAGAACTGAGTACTCCCCAGTATGTGTGTGAGGGGCGATGTCCACACATGCCCATACACCTCTGTCTAAAAGAGAAGCACAACCTCAAACACCCTACTTGTAGCAGAAGACCCTGGCCTCTCTCAAATTCCCTTACCAGGATCTCACCCCGTAGGGCATGGCTGGTTTCCCTGGGCCCCCTAATTCACTCCCCTGGCCTCCCTGACACAAGCACCTGAGTTCCCTAAACCGGGGCCAAGCAGTGTCTCTAAATGCTCTGAGTCTCTTCCAGTGCACTCAAGGACCCCCAGCCACTGGACAGAGAGGGTTTGCTGGCCCCTCCCCTGTTGCTCCGGTGGAGCTAAATGACTGATGGAATGTGGGTGGCCACAGCTGCCAGACCAAAGCAAGCAGGGAGCTCCAGCATCTGCTGGCTCAGCTGGCCCAGGACTCCGTAGTTCTTGGTGCCCCTCTTCAGGTTGGTGGCTCTCCATCCACAGACTGCCCCATCCGGAGGGCGACGGAGGCAGAAGCAGCACAAAGGAAGGGTGAGTGCTTTTGGAGTCTAGGATCCCAGCCCAGGGTTGAACAAGGACCAGAACCAGTCAGACCTAGAGACACACCAAGAAACCCAGAGAGACACACAGAGGAGCAGGGACTTTGTGAAAAACACTCACAGGGGCGGAGACCAGAGGCAGAGACCCGAAGCAAAGGAGACCCACTCAAACGAGCGATCTGGAGGGAAACACGCGGCAGGGACCTCAACGGATGCATAGCTTCGGACACACCCCCAGCCCCGAGAGAGCCAGTCCCCAGCGCGGCCCAACAGGAGGCCATTCGGCCAGTGCCGGCCGCAGACGCGGAGCCCCAGGCGCGGGGCGGGCCGGGACTCGCACAGGACGCGCGGGACCGTGCGCGCTGTGTCGGGAGAGCGCGGGGCGCAGCGGCGAGAAGCGCACACAAAGAGCCAGCCGGGCCAGCAGAGCAGGCTCCGCCCGTCCGCTGCGCGACTCCAGACCACCCCCAGCCCGGGCACTCGTCCCCACACACACACGCACACCCTCGACCCCTCCGCGCGCCCGGGACCCGCCCCGCCGCGCCCCACCCTGCCCGGCCGCCCGGGCGCGCGGCTCACCAGCTGCAGGCAGCAGAAGGCGACGAGCGTGCAGCGCCCGCTGCACTTGCCCATGGCTCCGGGGCCGCGGGGCCGCCCGCCGCGGCGCCCCTCCTGCTCTGCGGCCGCCGCCTCCACGCGCGTCCTCCCGTGGGCGCCCCGGGCGGCGGGGCGAGCGCCTAGGGTCGGGCCCGGGAGCGCCGGGTCCCCAGGGCTGGGGCCGGCCGCCCGCGCTCCGAGTCCATGGTCCGCCCGCCCGCGCTGGCTCTGCCCGTCGCGCCTCCTTTGTCTTCCGGCCGGCGACAAGGCGCACTCCTATCCGGCTGCGGGCGGCGAGCGCAGGCACCGGGCGCGCGGCGCAGCACTGCCCAGCTGGGGCAGCCGCCCGGGCGCTCGGCTGCCGCGGCTTCCTGACCCACCACGTGGCTCCGCCGCCGCCACCGCCGCCTAGAAGTGAGGCGAGGGGTAGGGCGGGGCGGCCGCGAGAGGGGAGGGGAGGGGAGGGGAGACGCTAGGGAGGGTGGGGGAGCGGCGAGGAGTGGAGAGGGCAGCGTTCCGGCTTGGGGGCTGACAGCCCTGGGTCAGATCCGGACTCCGTCGCTTACTCGCTGTGTGACCTTGGGCAGATCTCATCACTTCTCCGGGCCTCTGCCATCTCCTGAGCAAAGTAGCAAAAATGCTCAGATGCTCGCGTGGCATGAGTCATTTTGAGTCAGCACTGAGCCCCGAGCCTGGCTTGGGTGGGTGGGTGTATGTGTGTGTGCAAAAGCAGGAGTGCTCCTCCATCCACCCTGTTCCGGGGCTTCCAACTTAGCCCTGTGGTTCCATTTCTGTTCCCAGCTCTGTGGCTCATCTCAGCTTCCTTCCTGAGTGCTTGGTCACATCTTTTCCTTTCTTCTTTCCTGCTTCTGGCATTCATGAGACCTGGAGCACCACTCCCAGTTGCACTGGAGCTTCATAGCCCAGGAACCCCACAGGCTCCCAAGGACAGCCAGGGAGGTGCCTGAAGGCAGGGGCCAGCCTGACCCAGGGAACCTTGGCCAGCTACTACCTGGGCTGCATCTCAGAAGGACGCAACAGGGTTCCTTGGAAAGGTTGGCTTCTTCAAAAGCACTCAGACTGCAAATAGCCCAGATCCATTTCAGCATCCCTGCCCTGCTCCTAACTTCCTAGTCACCTTGGTGATTAGCATCACCCAAGTGGGAATCTTGGGTCACCTCCAGACATACTTCCTTGTCCCCTGGATCTGTCCCCAGGTTCTGTAAACAGCACTCCCATTTAATATTTATGATGTACCTACTATGTGCCAGGGGAATGAGGAAAGAAACCAGATGAAGTCTCTGCCTTCCCTGGGTGCAGCTCTGTGACCATTCTGTGACAGGACCTCTGCAGAACCTCCTCCAGAGTCTTCCCCAGTTCCCTCCATGCAGGTAACAATGCATACATATTACTAATCATACTACTGTTGATTGAGCGCTTACTCTGAACCAGGGACTTGACATATATTTTCTCATTTAATCCTTACACTAACACTGAATCCACTGGGGACTCTGTCCAGCCCTGCTAATCTCTTAGCTACATCCCCTCGTGCCTGTGACACCCTGTTCCAAGGCTTAACTGCCTTGTGCATGACTGCATCCTGTGGCTCCAGGGATGCCCTGTCCGACCTCAGGTGTACACCTCTGCCCTGGGTCATTCCTGCTTAGTCTGGGTCCTGCTCCCACAACTCCAAGCATACACACCACACCACCTCACACATCTGTTTTGAGCATTTTGCTTTTTTTTTTTTTTCGGTACCGGGGATCAAACTCACGACCTCGCTTGCCAGGCAGGCATTTATTCCTGCTGTGCTAAATCCCTGGCCCCAGCATTTTGCTTTTTTTTTTTTAACCAGGAGTACATCCAGATCCTTAGCCCCAAAACTCCAGTTCACTTTTTACATCTCAGCCTGGGTGTCACTTCCTCCCGAAGGGCTTCCTTGACACTCTGCCACCTGGGGGTCCTTTCAGATCACCAGCAGTCTCTGCTGCCTCCAGTGCAGGATTTACTGTTCCCCCAGTAGACTGAATGCTTTATGAGGACAGTGACTGTGGACTAGCCCTGCCACCCCCAGGCCTTGGCTACAGCAGGAGCCAGCAGTGTGAGGTGAACCAGTGCCTGTATCATCCTCCCTTCTTCCAGCTTCAGGGCCCCCCCGGACTTTGGACCTCTTTTCATCCTTGGAAGCGCAGGATTCTAAGGGGGAGGCCACCAGTTGTAGGAAGAGATAGAATCCTATTTGGCAAAGGGCTGGGGGTTAGGAACTGGGGGTGTGGGGATGACATCAGAGGGGACTTGTAGTTGTCACCACAAAGGATGACTAACACAGGGACCAGGGATGGCTGTGGGGAAGAAGAAGCAGGATTTAGAAATAAGGAACAAAGATGACTCAGAACATGCTCACACTCGGAGTGTGAAGGTGGAATCCTGGTCAGCCGGGAAGGGAGGTCCAGTGGGTGCACTGTGGGGGTGTTAAGAAGCTGTCTCCCCAGTGCAAAGCAAAGCTAGGCAGCGTCTGCAGCTTCTGCCCTCTGTGGATGAAACACTGAAGACAGCTGAGAAAGTTCACTCGTAGCCAAAAGTTTAACCTCACGGTTTCCCCTTCTTTCACGTCAGAGGATTGAACATGCTCACTAATTACAGCTTCTGGGATGTTTTCTGTTACCAACCAGTTCTTCACACCTGCTGTGTGTCTGACAATTCAATTCGATTCTGAGGCTCACTATCAGAAGATAGTGTCGATTCTGAAGGTTAAGGGTTCAGTCCCATTAGAGCCCCGACCTCCTGTGCCAGTCATAAGCCCCAGCCCACGCAGCCCAAACTACTGACCAACACATTATCTGCCACAGATTCCCAAAATCCCCCACTTCGCTTCTTGTAATTTACTAGAACAGATCCCAGAAACCTGGAAGCTGCTTTAGTGATGTTCCCTGGTTTATTGTAAAGGATATAAGTGAATGGCCAGATAAAGATATACATTGGGCAAAGTCTGGAAGGAAACCACTCATGAGTTTTTGTGTCCACAGAGATGATGTATTCCAGCTTGCCCAGCCAATGCAATCACCAGCTCATTGCTCAAGAGTGTTTATTGGAGCCAGGCATGGTAGTGCACATCTGTAATGCCAGCACTCAGGAGGCTGAGGCAGGAGGATGAGCAACTCAATGACATATTGAAACTCTGTATCACAAATTTAAAAAACCAAGCCAAACCAAAGATGGTTTGAAGATGGGGGTCTATGTATTGTAGGCTGGCCTTAAATTCACTATGTAGACCAGGCTGGCCTGGAATCATGGTGATCCTCCTGCCTCAACTTTCCAAGTGCTAGGATTACAGGCATGAGTCACCACATCTAGCAAAGACCCTGGGCTGGATCACTAACGCTTAAAAAAAGTTTCTTTGAGTTCTGTCTCCAGGTTTCCTCCCAGGCCAAACCTTCCTGGAGGACTGTGGGTGATTCTCAAAGTTTCAACCTACTGGTCACTTGGTCTTGCTGGTGACCAGCCTTATTTTGAAGCTATCTAAGGGCTACCCTAAGTCATCTCATTAGCATCAATTGATGTGTGACAGAAAAGGGTATATAAAAATCAAAGGATACCTTTAGGCTGGGGAATATAGCTCACTGGTGAAACATATACCCAGCATGTATGAGGCGCTGGGTTCCAGCTCCAGTCTTTGCAGAAAAGGGAAGGGGCGGGAACCTCTGTCTCAAGACTCTGCAGGGTTTAGGAATTCTGTGCCAGGAACTAAGGACAAAGATCAAAACATTTTTTTTTTTTGATCAAAACATTTTTGTGTTATACCATATTAGTCAATAGCAGATACTATAAACCAGGTATTTTTCTAAGCCACTTCTATGCAGTCAGGCATTAACTCACAACTACCGTGTAAGGCAGGTACTGTTAACCTCACTGGCTCCATTTTCTAGATGAGGAAACTGAGGCTAGAAGAGGTTAAATTACTTACCTGAGCTCGTTCATACAACAAGAGGTTGAATGTGTGTTTAAACCCAGGCAGAACTATTTTACCTATACCATTGCTTATGGTTTTCAAACTTTTCTTTTTTAGCAATAGAGGCCCCCAGGGGTTGGGGATTTAGCTCAGCGGCATAAGCACCTGCCTTGCAAGCAGGCGGTCATGAGTTTGATCCCCAGTACCGATAAAAATGAAAAAGACAAAAAAAAAAAAAAAAAATAGAGGCCCCCCATTTTTTCCCCAAAAGGAAGTGTATATTTCTAACCAGAAAACAGACTGGTTATAGAGTGAAAGATGTGCAGCAACCTGTCCTCTTAGCTGGCGCCCATCTCTATGACGGTCTCCGGAGTAACCGTGTTAATTCTAAGGTTTCTAAGGAACAATATACAGGAAAACCACCAGCCTAGATGATCTTCAAAATGCTATTTAGAGCTGGGCATCATGGTGCACACCTGTAATTCTAGCAGCCAGGGAAGCCAAGGCAGGAGGATCTCAAATGTGAGCCTGACTTGGGCAGTGTAGCAAGTTAGCAAGACGTTGTCTCAAAATAAAAATGGACGAGAGTGTAATTCAGAGAGAAAGCCCCAGGGGCAAATTCCTAGTGCCAAATAAATAAGTAAATAAATAGGAATGCATCCATGAGATATGGAAAAAATGCTGGAAAGGACTAGTTTTGCTTGGGGATAAGGAGGGATGGAAAATTTCAGAGGGAAGAGGATGATGGCTGCGATACAGATCAGACAGGCAGAGACGTCAGGATGCTACAGGGTGCATTTCAGGAACTATGGTCACTCTTTAATGTCTCCCCTAACTTTTGGACTTCATATTGCCTCTTTACTGCCACTTCTCTCCAACTAGCTTCCTTCAGAATCTCAAGGCCAAAACAAATCTGAAAAGGGGGGAAAAAAAGATACCCTGAGAGGAAAAAATGGCTGGTGAAAAGGAAGAGGATTGAATAGGGGTCTACAAAGGGCTGGATCAGGGGCGGCCTCTAAGCTTGCAGAAAACATACTCTCCCTGGCCGGGGCGGGGGCCTGCAGTCTCCGGCACAGAATCCGTTGACAGCCGAGACAAATCTTCTTTTCTGCCAGCCCTTGGAAGCCACATGGGCTTTCAGTTCAAGTCTGCCCTGGGGCCAGCTGAGCTGGGGACATTGAGAGATGAGAAGAGGCCTCTTGAATCGGCACCATTCTGCCATCGGGCTTTCATTAAGCTGCACCAGGCTTGTCCAGGGGCCAACAGGGGATAGGAGGGAAGACAGATGGAGTGGGCTCAGGCTGGCCCCCCAGCAGGCCCCGAATGCCCTGATAGGATTCTCAACTCCCTGCTGACGTCCCTCCCCTCCCATTGTTCATAAGCCTCCATCCAGGTGTCCCTCCTCGGCAAAAAGTCCTTAGAATCCTGAGATCATCATTTTGGAGTCTGAGGAAAATGTCATCTTAAAATCATCGAACAGTAGGACCGAAAGGAGCCTTGGGATTTTTCATGGAGCAGTTCCCAAATGTCAGTGTACTGACCACCCACATCAGCCCAAGTCAAGGCAGTCTCTGGAGGGGGGACCTGGTTCTGGCTATTTTAATATATTCCTCTGGGACTCTGTTGAGCAGCTGTAACCCTCTGAATCAATACAATGCAAGACAATGGTCCCCAGTTTGTATACCTCCAGGGATATGTCTCCTTTCCTTTGACCGGTGGTGAGTTTTGACTGAATGGATCTTTGTTGGGCATCCTTTTTTTTTTTTTAATCAGTACCGGGGATCGAACTCACAACCGCCTGCTTGCAAGGCAGGTACTTATGCAGCTGAGCTAAATCCCCAGCCCCCATCCGTTGGTTGTTTTATAATTCACTTGGTTTTGGCTCTGCACTGTAAGGTGTCCTAGAGTAGAAGCAGTAATTATTCTTCTGTCTCCAAAGCAGCTTTTTTTTTTCTTTTTCTTTTGAGACAGGGTGTTGTTGTGCAGCTCAGGCTGGCCTTGAACTCACTATGTAGCTCAGACTGGCCTTGAATTCCTGTTGCCTTAGATCTTTTTGCCTCAGATCCTTTGTCTCAGTCTCCCAAGTGCTGGGATTATAGGTGTGCACCACCATGCCTAGCTCAAAAGTGGCTCTTTGATGTTTGGAGACAGAGATCTCATGTGTCTTCCCCAGTCCCTACATCTGTTCCCCACAGTGACTTCCTGAGAGGACACCTAGAAGCAAAAGCAAGCTCAGCTGTGGTCTACCTCCGTCCAGAGTACCAACAAACTTCTGGCTCTGGGTCTGTGTGGCAGAGTCCGCCTGCAATCCTGGCAATTGACAGGCTAACACAGGAGGATCGAGTGTTAGGACCCAGTTTGAGCTTTTTGAGGTCAGTCTGTGCTACAGAGACACTGTCTCAAGAAATAACTCTGGTGGCTGGGGATTTAGCTCAGCGGCATAAGCGCCTGCCTTGCAAGCAGTCAGTTGTGAGTTCGATCCCCGGTACCGATAAAAAGGAAAAAGACCAAAAAAAAACAAAAAAAAAAGAAATAACTCTGGCAGCTTTTTCATCATGGGATGAAGCTAAAGTTGCCTACCTGGCTTTTAAGGGCTTTGCAACTTGACTCCTACAATTTCCATTTCTCGTACAATTGCTACTCCAATACACAGTTATCCCATGCTGTGTGTCATTTTTGGACCCACAGATTTGGTGACTGTACCATTTCCCATGTTTTCCCTACTGCCCAAACAGTACTCCTACTCCAAGCTTCCTCGATCTCCACAATCCCTACTCCTCCTGTAAGACTCACTATAAGTGTCATTTCCTCAGAATACTTTCCTTAGCTCCTCCCTAGGCAGTGCCTCCTAGTGTAGAGACGTGCGACTGACACATCTATGGGACTGAATTTTAACTGTTGGTGCATATATGGTTCCATGAGAAAACAAAAACAAAAACACAAAGCACATGATATTTTCCTGGAGTGTCAATTTTACTTGGTGCTCAGTCATTTAAAACATTTATTAATATAAAACAAGCACAGCTATATTATGAAGCAGCATACAAAAACCATACATATATAGACAGTTTCACTGGAAAAATGTAGGAGGATTGTTCTTAATTAAGAAAGAGAAGCCAGTGTGGTGGCAGATGGCTGTAATTGCAGCACCTGGGAGGCTAAGCCAGGAGGATCACAAGTTCCAGGCCAACCTGGACTACGTAGTGAGCTCAAAGCCAGCCTGAACTATACAGAGAGAGACTCTGTCTCAAAAAAAAAAAAAAAAAAAACAAAAAACAAACAAACAAACAAAAAACCCCAGATAGGTAGGTAGATAGTCAGAGTTAGAATAGCCAAATGCATGAAACTTGATTCCAGATTTAAAAATAGCAGTAAAAGATATCTTTGAAGCCAGGTATAATGGCACATGCCTATAATTGTAGTACTCAAGAAGTTGAGGCAGAAGATTGCTGAGAGTTTGAGGCCGCCTGGGTTGCATAGTGAGTTCAAGATGTTCAGGCTTTTAATGCAGCTGCTTCAAAAAGTGGCAAGAATGACAGAATAGCTAGGCGTGGTGGCCCGTGCCTGTCATCCCAGCACTTGGGAGGCTGAGGCAGGAGGATCACTGTGAGTTTGAGGCCAGCCTGAGGTACACAGTGAGTTCAAGGGCAGCCTGAATTACTTAGCAAGATCCTGTCTCAAAAAACAAATAATAAAACAAAATAGAATGATGAATGTTTGAAGCAGGGGAGGTATTCTGAGGGGGATTAATGGTACTGTGTCTTTTATCATAATAGTTTTTTAAAAACTTGAAACATTAGGGGCTGGAGATTTAGCTCAGTGGCATAAGTGCCTGCCTTGCAAGCAGGCAGTTGTGAGTTCGATCACCAGTACCGATAAAAACAAAAAAGACAAAAAAAAAAAAAAAAAAAAAAACCCTTGAAACATTCACTGTATTTTTATTTTTTGGTCTTTTTGAGACAGGGTCTCACTATGCAGTTCAGGCTAGCCTTGGGCTCACTTTGTAGCCCAGGCTGGTTTCGAACTTGTAATGATCTTCCTGCCTCAGCCTCCCGAGTGCTAGGATTACAGGAGTGCGTCACCATGCCCGGCTCCACTGTATTTTTTTTGATCATATATCTTTTTTTACAGTGCTGATCATACATTGTATATATATTATACATACATACAAATGTGAGAGAAAGGATTATTTGATCTCAGTGGAATAGATGTATATTCTACATATGTTCAGTATATTGATCTTTGAATTTTTGTGTGGAACTTGTCAAAATAAAATGTTGAGGAAGTTTGGCTTATAGCTTAGTAGCAGAGCATGTTTAGAATGAACCAGGCCTTGGGGTCAATTAATGGGACCAGTACCAAGAAAAAATATCTCCTGGAACGAGCAAAACCACTGCTAACTGTGATCTTGGTGACCCTTTGCTCTGTGTTTCCCTTTTGTAGAAGGAGAGTGAACTAGATAACCTAAGGATCTACCTACAAAGGTTTTTTTGCGACCTGTGTGGCCCTTGGGACCTTTTCCCTCGTGATGCCAGGGGTGGAACTCATACATGCCAGGTAAGCACTCAACCACGGCACTATACTTGCAGCCCTTGTACCTGGGACTTTGAAGAAAGGTCAGGAGCCTCTTCAGGGTCCTTTTAAATACCAATCCCCACGTTCTCACCAGGCAGAGATGACCGAGATGGCTCCCTGGCCAACTTCTTAAATTTAAGCTGAGCCAAGGGCTTGGGAGGAATGTTCTGACACTTGTAGAGAGCACGTGTGAGAAGTGGCTTCCCAGAACCAAGGGGACAAAGGAAGTCAGCTTGGCCTTGTGCACCCCCTTGGCTATACTTATGGCCATGTCAGCACCGTCTTGGAGTCATCTAAGGAAGCTTTAAAAGTACTGAGGTCCACCTCGAAAACTGATTTACTCATCTGGAGAGTGGCCTGAGCATCTGGAATTGTAAGTACTCCCCTGGTGATTCTAATGTGCTTTCAAGTTTAGAGGCCACTAAGAGCCTACATGGTGGTAATGGGGTAAGATCCAGCTAGGTTTGTGTCTTGGATTTGCAGTTGGACCAGCTAGATGATACTGGGCAAATTATTCCTCTTTTTTTTTTCTATTGTTTTTGTTTTCTTTTCTTTGTGGTATTGGGATTGAGCCTAAGGCTTCACACTGAACGCTCTTTTTATTTTTTGTGTCTTGTGAAATTGCCCAGGCTGGGGCTGGGGATTTAGCTCAGTGGCAAAGCCCCTGCCTTGCAAGCAGGCAGTTGTGAGTTCGATCCCTGGTACCGATAAAAAAGAAAAAGACAAAAATAAATAAATAAATTGCCCAGGCTGGGGTTAAACTTGCAATCCTCCTGCCTCAGCTTCTCAGGGTGCTGGGATTACAGGTTATATGCCACCATTCCTGGCTAAATCTGTTGCCACATATGTGAGAATCAAGTCAGTACTGTATGTGGTGAGCCAAAAAGCACAGTGAAAAACAATTATAGAGTAAACAGGAGAAGCCTGTGACCATCCTAGGAGAGAGCTGATCTTTCTAAGCATGTACCATAACATTTCTCAAATGTGCATCAGAAGTACTCGGAGAGGGCTGGGGATACAGCTCAGTGACACAGCGCCTGCCTGGCAAGTGCAAGGTCCTGAGTCTGATTCCTGGTGCCGAAGTGGGAAAAAACTGCCCGGAGGACTTGTTAAACCTTCAACTATAGAACACCCCTCCTCCCAATTTTTTTCCCTAGTGCTGGGAGAAACAAAACAAAACAAAAACCCAGGGCTTTATGCGTGGTAGGCAAGTGATCTACCAGTGAGTAACACTCTCAGCCCTAGTATCGTGCAAGTTTCTGATTCTACAAGACTCAGTGAATCTGTAGGACTCTGGAATTCACTTTTAGCATTGAGAACCACTGCTGTAAAGCAAGGTATCTCAGTGGCATCACAGTGACACTTGGGAGCTGCTGATTTTTTGGCCTCTACCCATTTAGATGTGTAGTATCCATTAGGTATCTTCATTTGCACATGTACCTTAAGGGACAAAATTGCCCTTCAAGGACATTTGACATCTGCCCCAAGTTAAAGAAGAATCCAAGGGTCTAGGTGGGCTATAGAGTACAGTAAGAAAAAAACTGGAAAACAACAAACAACTTGTAGCCAGGAGCCCACTCTTGACACCTCCTGAGACTTTTTTTTTATTGGTACCGGGGATCGAACTTACGACTGCCTGTTTGCAAGGCAGGTGCTTATGCCGCTGAGCTAAATCCCCAGCCCCATGACATCCTTTTCCTAAGGCTCACTTGCTCGCAGTCTCAAATTGCTAAGACTTCTTTCTTTTACCTGTTTCCTACCCTCCATCTTGAGATATTAATAAAGATTAAATTCTAGGTCTATCAGTGAGAAGCAAATACTCTAGTTTTACTATAAAGAAACAGCTCTGCCAAGAACCTTACTTCTGTGTAATAGCTACTGAGACCCAGGCCCTGGATAAGATTATTCTTGCCTTTGATGCCAGTAGTTCTGCTTCTTATCTACTTGGAACAGTGGACAACTGGATCTACCTCCTTACAGGACCTCATCCTTGATATCCTTGACCCATGAAGAAACCCAGGGCTTTACTACTTACCTGTAAAGGGCTCAACTGTACATGAGCAAGACAGGTGAGAGAAGACAGCATCAACCTGGACCAAAATGGGATTAGGGCCATAGGCCCACAGAGAAAAAGCAAGGCTAGAGAAAATTGCTAAGACCTGAACATGCAATTCCCTGACATTCAGCCCACCAGAAACCATCCAGCAAAAAAGAAACTTGGCTCTGTATGTGCCAAAAGCATGAAGTGCTAGACTGTGGAAGTCATAAAGGGAAATTAACTGAAACCCAGAGATGCCAAGACTCATTTGGGAGCAATCTATCTCTCCCAAAGTGAGAGTACAATGTGTAACCTCTGGGGATGTTTTCGTCTCACATCTTTATTCCCCAGGCTAGATCTTCTATCTCTTCAAATCCTAAGAGGCGCTGCTATTTCCTGGTAGTGGCTCCTTGGAGGCACTTGGAGAACTGAAGAGGCTGAGGTTAGAAAAAAGCCCTTGCAGGTTCCCAGGCTCAGCTCCTCCTAGTCGCTGCCAACTTCCCAAGGGACTGGTGGGCTTTTCACTGCTTGGTGTCAAGGGTCAAGCCTTTCATCCCAAGCGAAAAAAAACAAGGGGAGGAACTAGACCAATAGTCACCCATGATGGTGCTGAAAGCATGAAGAGCTGCTTGTATGCCATCTTTGGCCAACTTCCCTGGTTAAGGATACAACCAAATATAACGTTGTTCAGGCCAGAATTCTGAGTCACCAGTTGCCTTTGGAGATTTTGCAGTACTTTGTACTAAAAATACATGCTAAAAGCTACAGGCAAAGAAACCAGTTTCACTTTGTTTAACCCATCTTTTTTCATATTTCTTTGAACATGCAGCCTTTATGCCCAAAGTATGTAGCAACCCGTATGGATAATGGTGTTGTAATTTTAGGAAACTTGACCTATAGGACCAAGTACCTGAAGTACAGGTTCCCCAGGATTTGGCTCTTACTTAATTCTGCAACTTTCCCTTTGCTGCTTCCCATCACTAATCATGCTCCCTTGGTTCATGAAACATGCACACACTCCAGCTTGTGCCTGCTGTTTCTTTGAATGTACAATTTTTTTTGTCCCCGACAAGCCCTACTCATTTTCCATGTCCAGATCTAAGCACAATCACATAATCTGTGTAACTTCTTCATCTCTCCCAGGCACAATAAATTGCTTCCTCCTGTTTCCAGTGCAATTTATTCAAATTTCATTCACTGTATTAAAAGTAATTGGTTTGAGAGCTTTACCATCCTGCTGGTTCCTTCATTAATGAACTAAATAAATCTTTGGCATGTGCTTGCTCAAAAAAAAAAAAAAAAGTAATTGCTTTGAGGTAGTCTCTTCTACTGGTTTATGCATTTCTTAAGATGGCAAAGATGGGGCTGGGGATTTAGCTCAGCGGAATAAGCACCTGCCTTGTAAGCAGGCAGTCGTGAGTTCAATCCCCAGTACCATAAAAAGGAAAAAGACGAAAAAAAAAAAAAAAAAGATGGCAAAGACAATATTCTCGGTCCTCACCAACTATCAAGCCTGACACAGAATAGGGGTTGGGCCAGATGTGGTGGCACACTCCTGTAATCCCCGCACTTGAGAGGCTGAGGCAAGAGGATTGTCTCAAGTTTGAGATCAGCCTGGGCTACAAAGTGAGCCCAAGGCCAGCCTGAACTACATAGCGAGACCCTGTCTCAAAAAGAAAAAAACAGATTAGAGGTTGTTTTTGAATGATTGTACTCCAAACCCTAAATCTTTTAACTAAACATGCAGAGTGTATGGGTCAAGTCTGTAAACTGAGCCAGGCACAGTGATGCATACCTGTAACCTTAGCACCTGAAAGACTGAGGCAGAACTGCGAGTTCAGTGCTGACTCGGACTTACATGTGGAGACCGTCTCAAAAAAACTAAACAAGTTTGTAAACTACCATGTACAGAACAGGGTGGAATGAGATGTGAAGACCTACCTCTTTGAGGTGGGAGAATCAGGAAAAACCATTTTATTCCTTAGCACCACCAGAGATTCATTAGTGCTTGTCTGTGTACTGGGCAGTCACCCAGACATCTAGGAAGACAGGAACTGGTTCACGATACAAGGAAAAGTTAGAGGTCATTATTTTTTGTGGTACTGTGAATTGAACCTAGGACTTTCACACTGATATATTCCCTTTTTGTTAGTTTTGGAGACAGGGTCTCACTAAATACCTAGGCTGGACTTGAACTTGTGATTCTCCTGCCTCAGCCTCCCAAGTAATAGGATTACAGGTATGTGCCATTGCACCCAGCTGCAATTTTGGGGGAGTACTGGGGATTGAACTCAACTACCTTGTGCGTGCCAGGTAGGTATTTATGCTGAGCTAAATCCCTGGTCCCCAGCTGAATTTTTAAATGTCCTTGTCAGTGTAGGAAAAGGCAAACAGAACTAAAGCCTCAGGTAATGTCATGGCCAAGTTCCATCAAAACATTCTCATAACCAAGTGTACTCCTGAGACTGAGTGAGGTAGGAGCATCACAATTTTTTTTTTTTTTTTGGTACGGGGGATTGAATTTACGACCTGTACTTACTAGGGAAGCGCTTAAGCCACTGAGCTAAATCCCCAGCATCATAATTTTTGATCCAGCCTGAGTAACTTTGCTAGACCCTGTCCTACTATGTAGTCTGGGCTGTACTCAAACTTGCTATGGTCAGGCTGGCCTCAATCTAGTGATTCTTATGCCTCAGTTTTCCAAGCACTGAGATTATAAGTGTACGTCACTGTGCCCGGCTAGCCAGTATCATTTCTACTGGCAGAGACTACTGCAAATCTACCCACTTCAGGAGCCAGAAAAGCACAGACTTTGTTCATTAGCCTGAATTCAAATGGACAGTAACTAGGTTCTTTTAGACTATATAACCCCACCCCCACCCAGTACTATGGAATGAATGCAGGGCTTTTGCATTAAGCTACATCCCCGGCAGCTTTTGAATTTTTGAGACAGGGTTTTGGTAAGCCACTGTTGTCTAAGCTGAGATTGAATTTGTGATTCTCCTGCCTCGGCCTCAAGAGTGCTGGGATTATAGGTGCACGCCACCATAACCAGCTTCTATGATTTTTTTCAACTGCTCTGTTTCTAGTAGGAGAAAAATACCTGCTAATTATTCTGTCATTCTGATGGGAGGAAATTAAAAAAAAGCGGGGGGGGGAATGCAACCACTTTTCAGAAGCTGAAATGAAGCTGGCTGAGGTGATGCGTTCCTGTTATCCTGGCACTCCAGGAGACTGAAGAAAGAAGACTGAAAGTTTTAACCCGGCATGGACAACTTGGTGAGATCTTGTCTCATAAATGAATGAATGAATGAATGAATGAATGAGAAGGATGTAGCAAAGACCCTAAGTTCAACCTCCCATTATTTTTTCTTCAAAAAAAAAAAGTGTAAATGGTATCCCTTGAATATGTCATGCCCTGCTCTAATTTATAACAATCAAGCTTCAAAGAAAAAACAGCAAGCAGCAAGTCTGATTCACATGGCTCTTGTAACAAGGCATCTATTTGATTTTTAATACAAAATAACTCAGAGAAACATAAAATGAAAATATCATACAAGGCAGTTACTAAATTAAACCAACAAACTTCAGTTGATATTTCCTGTCTTCAGCTGAGTTAGAAAACAGAAAATTATGTAACAATCAATGTCTTGTCCGTTTGAAGAAATCTTATTTAAAACAGGAGAGGTCCCTGAAGTCTGGTAGGTGGTATCGGAGGCTGCTGGCAGCCTCAATCATCCTGGTGACTGGGGTACAAGCGGTTGTTGGAATATGGCCACCAGCTCTTGTTTCTTGCTAGTAATGGTCATCAGAAGGGAGGAGAGCCTGGGTACCATTTGATGCCAATTATACAGCCCAAGGTCTCAAGGTCAAGCAGCCTCTGAATCTTCCAGCCCGTATCTTCATTGAATCTCCCCCATATATAGTCTCTTGTCACTGGAGGCTGAGAGAACTGAGGTAAAAAGAACAGAGAAGATGATTGGAAATAACGAAGGCTCAAAGAGACTTGGTGCTTAAGGGCTCTTGTGTTAAGAGCCAATTTTGGTATATAAGAGCAATTGGATTTAACTTGAATTCTCCTCCGAAACACCATCCACAGGAAACTGTAGCCTGACTTTTCAATCCAAGTTCCCTTAAAAACATGAGGATGACTGTGCTATGGGAAATGTATTATCAGGTTCTAAATCCTGGTTTCCCTTGTCAGTCAAACCCCAAAAGATCTTTACAGTCACTCTAGGAGATGGGAAATTGATGTCTGTGGGAATATTTGAAATATACTTCTGCTCGTTATATGTAGCTCTGGAGAAAGTTACATTTTCTCCTTAAATTTAAAGTCTATTGGCAGAGGATATAGCTTTGTGGCATAGTGCCTGCCTGGCAAGTGTGGGATCCCGAGTTCAATTCCTGGTACAAAAAAAAAAAAGAGGTAATTCTATTGTTTGGCTCAACAGGCTAATAAAATTTAAGTTGCAATTTATACCTAAGTATTAAACATCATTCTAACCTGAAGTCCCAGCTACTTGGGAGGCTGATGCAGATTAATTGAGTTCCTGTGTTAAAGGCCAAATTCTGTCATATAATACATCACTGAAGTACACACTTGAAGCAAGAAAACAGAAAAAGAACCAAAAACTGGTCAGCTGTATTAGCATACACTTGTAACACCAGCACTCAAGAGGCTGAAGCAGAAGGACAGCCACACATTCAAGGCTAGTATGGGCTCAAAAGTGAGCTCAAGACTAGCCTGACCTACAAAGCAAGACCCTGTCATAAAAAACCCAAATAGCACTTGGGAGGAGGAGACAGGATTGCCACAAGTTCAAACCAGCCTGGACTACACAGTAAGACCCTGCCTCAAAAAACAAACAAACAAAAAAACCTTAACTAGACTAACAAGCTTCCCTGTGAGTAATAGGAAAGAAGTGGAACATTACTGTTACCCTCATCACTTAGCACAGCAATGGTAAGACTGTCACTGATACCTTTGGGACTATTTATATGGAAATTCACATGAAAGATATGCCTACTTCTGTCTCTGGATTCCTAGGCCTCCCTTGGGGAGGCTGACACAGTTCCCCTTTCCCAGTAGTCAGGAAAGACTTACTGATAGGCTCGTCAGGATGGAAAGCCACTTCATTGATGGAACCAGCATGGCCAGGCAGCTTATACAGTATTCTCCTGCTTGTGGTATCCCACACATACACAAACCTGCAAGGTATCACAAAGAACATGGGTGAAGCCTCCTGAAAGTGTGGTCAGGATATAGGTATAAATCTTTAAGGAAAATGGAAAACAACTTATATTTATTGAACTGTGTTCTAACTCTTAGAAAGCAGGAAGAGTCTGAGGAAAGACATGAACCCTGCTCATAGAGACATAGAAATAGCTAAAAATTCAGTGCTGCTGACATTTCCAAATAAAAACTTCTGGAATGAAATAGAGAACAAATGAAGACAATTTATTTACCAAGGATCCACACAAAAATAGTCATTTAGTAATGTCTTAAAAGTAGCACAACTCATTGCAGTTTGGGGATTCAATGTTTAGAACCAGACAAACTTCTTACTATTATAACATGGGTAGAATATACTGAATTTTGGAGTGGAAAGTGGCCAACAGAAATCAGGTACTTTTAACTACTTAACAAATAAGTAAATTAGCATACAGTGAATTTTTCAAGATGACATAGTTTATTAATTGCAGAGCTAAAACTAACCAGGCAGGTACAGGGGCACCAGTGTGTAATTCCAGCTACTTAAAATTAAAAGGCTGAAGGAGGAGTATCACAAGTTTAAGGCCAGTCTGGGTAACTCAGTGATACTCTCTCAGAGTGAAAAATATAAAGGGGTGGGATACAACTCAATAGCAGAGTGTATGTCTACCCTGTACAAGGTCCTGGGCACAATCTCTAGCGCCACAAAAAGGTTAATCAATTTCTCATCCAACATTATGGTTTGGTCTAAAATACAAGTGAAGAGTTTCTTAATTAGACTGGAAGAGGCTCAAGACTAGGTTCTATAGGAACTGAACAAAAGTTCTAAGTAAGATAAATAAACAGGAACTCCATCTGTCTAGACTCCCTGGCTCTGATGCTCATGCCTTCCACAGTGTCTTTTTTTTTTTGGTCTTTTTCCTTTTTATCGGTACCAGGGATCGAACTTACGACTGCCTGCTTGCA